CCTTCCCCGAGTTGCTGCCCTCCCCCTCTCTCTCCTCCATTCAAAATCTCTCTTCATTGGGTGCCATTTGTTCGGTGAATCGGGGCCATTTCAATCACTTGATGTAGCCTTACTCATCCCCCACTGTTTGGCTGGTGTGAATCATCTCAGTTGATGGCATTGTTTACTTGGAGCAAACCTTAGCTTTACTCATTTTGTTAAATCAATGGATATGATGGCTGGTGGGTTTTTTGTGCTTTATGATGTGCAGTAGGTATATTATTGTGGTATATACCTATCACCTCGGATTTGCATTGAAATGTATACAAGGACAAACTTGCGAAATCAGAAGACAAGTCATTTGAATTGTTTTCCACCAAGGTTGAAGGTCATTGGCTTGAAATTGACTTGAACCGGCATGCCTCCTCCCAATTCATGATATGAGCAAGAGTAGAAGTGTGCGGCACGTTGTGGATAGAGTCGAGGTGTGTGGCTCCAATGCTTCTAGCCAACCACCAACTACCCAAGCAAATGAAGTTGGCGCGTTGTGGATAGGGTCGAGGTATGTGGTCCCAATGCTTCTAGCCAATCACCAACTAGCCAAGCAAATGAAGTTGGCGCGTATGCCTCCAATGCTCATAGCCAACCATCAAGTATCCAAGCAAATGAAGTCGAGGTGAATGCTAGTGCCATAATAATTCAAGATAATGGTGATGTTGTTAGTGATGATTTTGTGCAAGAGGAAGATATTCATTATAATGATATCGGTGATTTTGGATGTCCTTGTCGCGTAACATGACATGGATCGTGAGCTCCCTTTAGGTGTATGTATGGGTATCACTGGGATGACGAGGGTTGGGGGAAGAATTTGACAAGGATTGATTCACTGAGAAAGAAAACCAAATCAAACCAAATCTTATTCGAGTTGACGGGAAAGGAAAAATAAACTCGCTTGTTTTGTGATCTTAGCCTTGCCCAGGCCATATTTGATGGTGGCATGAGTGGCAGCGATTGAACCGACACCCTGCTCGTAACCAGGCGAACCAAGGCCGAAGAACGAGGACGAGAATGCTTATTTGAAGAAATGCGTGAAGGTTGTGTGCTTGGAGGAGTTCAAGGTGCGGCTTAGTGACTATGCCATTAGGAACCATAGGCCATATATTGGTGGTCACTCCTCTAAAAAAGTGTGTTACACCATGAAATGTAACAAAGAAGCAATCCCATAGAAGGTCCATCGAAGAAGAATTTCAAAATCCAGCAAAGGGTGTTACAAAGTTGTGTAGTCACTCACAACTGCCCATCGCTGTCGGAATCAGGCCACCGTAAGGGACACCGTCAACTCAGGTTTGAGTATCTTGAGTATAAATTGATGAAAGAAATAGCCTTTGATCCAGCAATCAAGGTGGAGTTTCTCATGCAGACGGTGAAAAAACATTACAGATACGAGTCAAGTATGGAAAGACCTGGAAGGCCAATGCAAACGTTGTTTGTATGGCGATTACGAAGAAGAATACAATCGCCTCTTGAGGTTGTTTGAAGCGATTACACATAGGAACCTGAACATGTACCATTTGGTCCAGTAAGATGTTGGAGTGTTCCACCGTGACTTGTGGAGTTATGGGCAATGCATCGGATGATTTAAGTATTGCCGGCCGTTTTTTTTCTATAGATGGCATTTTCTTGACCGACAAATACAAGGCACACTAATGGTAGCAATGACACACTCATCCAATAACAAATGTGTTGTTAGTGGCACTTGCTTTGGTGCTTTCCGAGCAGCAAAACAACTGAGAATGGTTCATGAGACATATGAGTAACAAGGTGAATGGGGATGGGAGGTATGCATCATGGGCCGGCTCCATGGCATACTCAAGGCAATAGACATTGTTATTCCATGTCTTTCAAAGCCTCACCGCCGATGGTGCATGAGGCATTTTGTGGCAAGCTTTTACCAGGCATGTAAGAGGAGGAGTTCAGCCAAGATCTAATCCATGTTTGCGTTACCTTCATCACCGATGCATTCCAATCTCAGCTATGAAAAATTGTAAGGAAAATATATTCTTAAAAAGGAATTTAGATGAGAAACACAAGTGGGCACGCGATCATGATAAGGAGGTTGGAGATACAGTGACACTACGAGCAACATGGTTGAATGTTTCAACAATGTGCTCAAAGGTGACTGTTGATTGTCGCTGAGTGAAGTAGTGGAGTGTACTTTATTCAAGCTTAACGAGTATTTTAGGAGGCATTCCCAAAAGACTGCCAAATGGATAGGTAATAATTTTGTTAAATTGTGAACTTATTTCTTAACCGTGAACTTTTTTTAAACATGTTTTTTATTTGTGGGCAAAATAATTGAAACAAGAACATTTCTTGTAATTGTGAACAAAAAAATTAAACAATTTTAGTTTTGATCACCTTTTGAACTTTTTTTGTAACCATGAGCTTTTTTGCAAACAATTTTTTTTAAAACACGAATGATTTTAGTT